CGACAAGTTAACCTGCATTAGGTTAGGGTTAGTGTTAGTTCCGGTCAAGTTTTGTTGGATTTTGTTTGTCGGAAAAGTGTTGTCGGGAAAATGATAGAGACCCAAAGTTAAACTACCCGAGATCACTAAAAAAGTATTAAAAAAATTGTTAATCAATTGTATAACAATATGGAAATCATGGACGGTCTCTCCTGGACAAAATACGGTATATTAAATTTAGCCTGGCCTGGCCCGGCCCGCAATTATAAAATTTAAATGTTAAGCCCAGCCCGGACAGCAAAATGGGCTAGGCCAGGCCAGGTTTTGGGGCCCAATGCAGGTCTCTAGGGACAGGTTACGAAGCCACTTCAGATATGAATACATGGACTTATAAGCACAGCGCAATTTCAGTTTGGTCTTGGCTTGAAAATAAAAACCCTAATGATCTCTTTAAAAATAATATTCTCTATAATTTGGAGACAATAATATATGGGCCGTTAAATTTGAAAAAAAACATTCAGAACAAGAAATAATCAATGCTTTTGCTCGTTTCGGCATTGATTTAGAAATATTTTGGAAGCCCAGAATCACCGATTTAGAATATCTTGGTAATAAAGTAGTATATCATCGCCATGATCCATATTTTTCAGAATATAACTTATTTTCTCGCCTTGAACAGTGGCATTATTTTCGTTCAACCCATGAATTGCCACAATTAAAACCAGCACCACGCCTTCTTGTTGTTCATAATGATAAACAAACATTTATGCGCAGGTCTAACTTAAGGTACTACCAAGCTTCACCTAAAAACTATCAATTTATCCATTCTCTTATCTTCTGGAAAGCCTACAACTTAGCGTGGCATCCTGGTCATTATGATAGAATTGCTTAAGAATATATTGAAGAATGTCACATATTAGCTAAGATATACCGGGTTCATAATTTCTAGGCTTATTTGGTGCCAACTATTATTAGAGGTCAACCCATTACTTTTTAATGAAGTTAAGATAATATATCCGCACAACATTAAGGATCTTCATCCAAAAGTTCAAGAATTTTATAATCTCATTAAGAGTCATAAATTCCCACCTTACTACAATATTTTAAAGATCCAGCTTAAAATTCGAGACGAAGATAAATCAAAATATGATGACTATTGGGTAAGATATATGAAGACACGCTATATCTCTGATGCTCCTAATGGGACCATAGAAATATTACTGTCAACATTACAATCAATACCAAGAAAGATCACACATTATATTCCAAACATTATTTTAATGTTTCCAGATCCCGTCTGGTTCACACCAGATAGATACATCGAAAAATTTACCCTATTAACAGCCCTGGACCAAGAAGACACTATTGAAACTGTTTCTGATTTAAATTCATTATTAAACCAAGGACGCTGACTGACGCTAACACTTTCATGTATAATTACTGGAACGGTGCTTATGATGAAAGAGTTCGGTGATGAAATCAGCAAAAACAAATGCTTAAGATCTATCGATTTTTTATGTTTTTGATTAATATGAACTATGTTGCTTTAGTATTTTAGAGAAATTCATCGTTCATTTACCAATAATTGGTTTTCTATGGCAATTGTTCATTCTTCTTTTCGTAGATGTCAATAAAATTTATTATAATTTATTGGGGGTGGCATGGTTGCTCATTGCAAGTTGTAAGTTCTTTAAGCCCCAGGGATGCTTATATGTGGTTAAAAAGATTTGTTCATTATATTACAGTAATAATGTGGCCTATTACTATCATCGCTAAAATCACTTGGAGTCTATTCTGGCTAGAGCATACAGCTTATGTATGCGAAGCTTTAGGTAATTTTATTCGTCACAATCAACAAATGAAAGAAAATCCACAAGACAATCAAAGATCTAAAAGCAATATCATCACTTCTTGGATTCAAGAATTAGAATACCAAGGTTTATTCTGGCAAAAATATCATGAAATAGATAAAGCCACAATATTACGATCAAAAACAGAGACGGGTAAAACCGCCATAGTTCCAGCTGAAATATTAAAAAGTAAAAACACCACCCATCCTTATGCTATCGGACATGATAATTCTACCAAACAAATTATAAGATATATGGATGATAGTCAGGATAAACTCAAAATTATCCTGGGTATGTCCCGAACATTTAACCGTGATAACAATAAAAATAAGAATGAATACAACCCAATGCTGCCCGGTACCTTCGCAATTGTCGCCAACTCAAACCCATACAATCCACAAATGAATGTGGATATGATTGCAGCCACATTCAGATATATTGTCATGCTTAAGAAATAATGGATAGCTGTCATAATTACCTTTTCATTTTAGATGAATTTCATGAGTTTGATCCCGAAGCCCTTTATCTTTTATCAAAAATTCGACAATTGGATCCACAAACAAATAAGACGACTAAAGTTTTACTCCTTTTCGCAACTCCACGTAATATCTCTAGAATGATATTAACCAATCTTTATGAATCGCCACAACCCCAGAGGTTCAAAAGGAGGATATTTTTAAGAGATGATATTAGACCTATTGATAATTTAGTCTGGTTAGAAAAAGAAGATATTAATACACCAGACAAGGCCTCCTAATTAATGGTAACAATTACAACAATTAATGAAATAGCCCCATTGCAACAAGTCGCTGGTAGTTTAAATTATCCTTTACAAGAACTATCACGCAGAACCAAGCATAAATCCTTAGATCAAGCCCAGGGCATCTTAGTTACACAAATTGTTACCACAGGAACCCGATATTCATCACATCATTAGTGATAGTGACAATATTACAAATATTAAAGGTCAACTTCATTGTCTTAAAACATCTCCTGCAACTGAACTCCAATTACGAGGCTGGAACAGTCGTTTCCATAATGACGATACATTCACTTGTCCGATATCATCAAGTTCAGGTAAATCAGAATTACCTTACGGGAGTATAAGCATTTATTCACAGTCTGATATCCTCGACCTTCATCAAATTTCACAAGACTGGAGGTTACTCCCCTTAAAACAACAAATTCCAGGCTATATCTAGTTTAATCATCCAAGACTTAATTAAAGCCTCATCTACTAACGAAGCAATTTGGCTATGGATAGTTGCAGAGATACTAATATCTAATCGTATAAATCCTCAAGTATAATTTAATCAAATTACCCTGGGTAATAAAGATATTAATAAAGATAATGAGTATTTTCATACTCTTATCAAACAACTAGAGGAGAATTACTTTCATAATTTTAATTTTACTAATTTACGGTTAGTTCTAGACTCTGAAGATCGTTTATATTATAACTTCCAATCATTAGACTATAGAGATTTTCATATTACTTTAAAACTCTATGCCGGTAAAATAGAAGCTTATAATTTAATCACTTAAGATCAAATTATTGATCAGAGCTCTATTTCTTAGAATGTATCTTGGGTCACCCTCTCACACACCATCACAAGACAATACTTATGCATTAGAAGATGAAAAAAGTTGATAATTAATGGTATAGTTTGTTCTCTTTGTGTTTATTATCATAAAAATTAGTTAATAAGGCTTTAAATAGACAATAACTAAAGTTGTATATGTGTCTATATGTATCTTTGTCAAAATATACTATGTCTGAAGCCCTGAAGACACCAGTAATTCCTCATGCATCTAATAAAAGTAATAAGCCAAAATGTTAGCCTTGACTATAAAAAAAATAAATAAGTATTAAAAAATCTTTGTTTAAGGTTTAAGTTAAAATAAAAAATTTTTATCAACTTTGAATAGCTAGTTATTAAAAAATATTCATTAAAATTTAAAAAAAATTGAGTTGCAGCTTTTTTTTTTAACAATATCTAAACTTTGAATGAAGATTACTTGTATAATATCTAACCAAATTTGTTTAATTTTTTTTATTTTAATTTTGAGATTATAGAATTAAAATAAAAAAATTCAATAAGATATATATCAAGTAGCTTTTGTTCAGATTTTAAGTATTTTTTAAAATAAGTTGTAATTAATTTTTTTTAACTATCAATCAACATTTCTTAATAACTACCAATACAAATTTGATAAAAATTTTTGATTTTAATTCTACAGATCTGTAGAATTAAAATAAAAAATTTTATTGAATTTGGTTTAATAGTTATTGAGAAATTTTCATTTAAATTTTAAAAAACTATAATTATAACTATATTTCTCTAAAATATTTATAATTTTTAATAGAAATAATTTATTTATTATCTAGATGATATTGTTGTTTCATAAGATTAAGTATAACATAAATCAAAATAACCAAAATAAACAGAGTTTATAATTAGTTAGAGTGTAAACAAAGAGTAAAGTTTATAATAAAATTTTGCAAGAAATTTTTTTTGTTAGAGCACAAAAAGTTATTTTATATGCAGAATATTGAGTTATAAATGATTTTTACCAAAACAAATATTTTTTTTTAAATTTTTCTAATCATATTATATACACCTGGTCTTGAAATTTTATTGGTTATACATAGGGTAACATATCACAGAGGTGATAATAAATTTACTCTTTTTAATATTTTTTAAAACTTTAAATGAAGATTTTTTGATAATTATTAGATCAAACTCAACTAAACTCTTTTTATTTCAATTCTAAAAGCCTATAGATTTAAAATAAACAATTTGCTTAACTAAATCACATAGTTATTAAGAAATCTTTATTAGAAGATATAAAATTTAAAAAGAATTGTTATATAGTGCAGCCAATCAAAATAATAGAAAAGTGATGTGAAAATTAGTAAATATGAATATTTCTCAATAACCAGCTATTCAAAGTTGATAATTTTTTTTATTTTAATTCTATAAACTCACAAAATTAAAATTAAAAAATCATTAAAATTGGATGACTGGTTGTTAAGAAATTATTGTTTAAAACTTTTTTTGAAAAATTTAAAAAAAAATATTGCAATAGATTTTTTTACTTAAACTTTAAACAAAGATTTTTCAATACATACTTGATTAAATTCACTCAATTATTTTTATTTTAATTTTATAAGATTATAGAATCAAAATAAAAAATGGTTGATCAAATTCAATCAAGTATGTTCAAAGTTTAGATATCTTTAAAAAAGAAGCTGTGGCTAAATTTTTTTTAACTTTCAATCAATATTTCTCAATAACTACCAATACAAATTCGATAATTTTTTTTTTATTTTAATTCTACAGATCTGTAGAATTAAAATAAAAAAAAATTTATCGAATTTTGTTCAATAGTTATCAAGAAATTTTCATTTGAAATTTAAAAACCATGATCGTAACCATATTTGATATTCATAATTTTTGATATTTTTTAAAACTTTAAATGAAGGTTTCTCGATAACTACCGGGTCAACCTCAACTAACCTTTTTTTTATTTCAATTCTACAAGCTTGTAGAATTAAAATAAAAAAATTTGCTAAACTTAATCACATAGTCGGTGAGAAACCTTTGCTAGAAGATATAAAAA